CTCGTGGTGGAACACCAAACCAATGTGCCAGGATCTGGACAATAAAGATGTATCTTATCTTATCTTATCTTATCTTATCATGCTTTCTTCATAGCACTAGATGACTGTTACTGTGTCAATGTGCTTGACTTTACTATAACTAACAAACAAACTAACACTCTGAGCTAATCTTGCTGACCAACATAAATAATCTATGGACGTTGTGGACTTTACTCACACAAGGTGGCCTGGACAGAGCAGAAGGACTCTTGTTCATCCAGTTCACGGACCGTTTCCATAGCAACGCTCAACTGACCGCGTGGCCTGGTTCGCTTCTCGGAGCGATACGTCTGCTCATGGGTAAGGAGCATTTGTTTCTTTATTTCTTTTATCTTTTAACTCACTTGAGCTGAGTTATTTTTCACCTAACAACCGCTGCAGCCTGACATTTTTGGAGTATATTGAAGCGTTAGCCACAAAAAGACTATGAAAGCTATCATGAGTTTTTAAAATGCAACAAGAGAAAAAAAGAAATATTCTCGCTGAAAAAGAAAACTGAATCTAATTTGTCCAAATAGTTTACATTTTTTCAATATTTTCAAATTGCAATGTCTGGGGGTTACACAATTTTTTCCCCCCCAATTTGTAACAAAATCGTCTATCGCAATGCGGGGATGACTGACTTGGTTCGTTACTGCTAAAAAAAGTATCTCATATAACTTCACCAAATTTTTATCAAAGCGAAACAAGTGGGTCACATCTTCACAGAGTGTCCAGACTTCGGAGAGACCTGAGGGAAGTCTTTTAATGCAAAAAGTTGCAAAATCTGTTCTCTGTTGATCCCAACAGAATTCTCAATTTTATGAAGGTCTTTGGCCTTTACAATAAATTGTAGATAGAGTTATTTTAAAAAATTATTTGAAGTGTTATTTTAAAACCGAGATTTAAGCACAAATTTTTCAAAATATTGACCTCAACCGAACCGTGCTGTGAGTTTTTGTGATTGCAACCAACTTGTGTTTCGCACGCTCATATAACCTTATGCAGTTGCGAGCGACATATCTTACAAAAACATAAAACACCTCTCTGTCCCCCCCCCCAGGTCCCACTGCCGCTGCCATCTGTAATCGGTTCAGCGTGCGTACGTGTGTCATGGGAGGCACTGTCGTCTTCGCCCTGAGCCTCATCATGGACGGCTTAGCCCCAAACATTTACTTCCTCTTCTTCTCCCACGCCGCGGTGCAAGGTTTGTACTACGAAAATGTGTCACGACATGGTGGAATTAGGCACTTGTCAATTATTGGGCATGTGGAGTTATTGGTGATATCTTAAAGCTTGTTCATTTGTCTTGCTTTTGTTGAAATAATGTCCATTTATTTTGAAAAGAAGTCTAGATTTTTATGATTGAAAGAGGTTGGGGTCACCTGGTGTCAGAGGTCAACTAAGGACGAAAAGGGCCGCCAAAGTTTGGTGACTTCCAAAGCTGTAGTTTCCTTTCAAACTACAATTATTCAATTTTTGTGGCTTTGATCAATATCTCAAATTTAATTTCACACAGAAATATCTTTTTAAATGGATGTAAGGGTTTTGAGCCAAGAGAAAAAAAAAAAAAATAAAAAATTGCCCAACAGTCAGAGAAATGCCGGTTTCTTTGATTCCATTATTTTGACACGCTCCTGATTTCGCCACAATGCGTTCACAAATGAATTGTCTTTACAGCCAATTCAGAATAGACTTGACCTAATACACATATGGAGGAGCCACTACTGAGTATATAGGGTAATATTACAGGACAGAGGATCTACTTTCAGACCTCAGTTTTTGGGAAAATCACTCATATTTTAGGCGAATACTGTGTTGCTCTTCAATGGTTTGCACTGCCTGGGTCATCCACTCCGTGCCCCGTTTAAGTCTTTGGTTTAGTCTGACGACCTTTTTTGTCATGCAGAGGATTCTGTGGATCTTCGCAGACTTTCAGATAAGTTTTGACCTGTGCGAGCTTGTGTATTCGTGGTTGCCGGGCTGTTCCTGCCCACCCTGAAATGTACCCTCATGAAAAGGGGCGAGGAAGCATGGAGCACCCCGTCTTCCTAAGACCCCAGTTCTACATTGAAGTAATTCAAGTAATACAGTGTTGCTGTCACAAGCAACCCACTTAAGTCCAAATTTCAAGAGTTTTTTTAATTGTTGCACTGCACACTCCCATAGCTCTGTCAAGATGCACCTTTCAACATCACCAAAATTACAGTTTAATGCTATTGTCAAGGCATACAATTTTCTTGCTTTCCATGACTTCTGATAGGAAAAACGCAACAAAAACTAGCTTTTTTTTTCTCTCTGGTGTAAAAAGTACCCGAATGGACTTAAGTTGATTTCTTGTGACACCGATGGGATATACTGTTATAAGTCTTGATTTCCTGCTCAGGTTTTGGCCGAGGTCTTATGTACGCGCCCAGTCTGTTCATCGTGCGGCAGTACTTCCACAAACGTCAGAGCCTGGCCACTGGGATCGGCACCTCGGGCGTCGGTGTCGGCACTTTTCTCATCGTGCTTCTGGTCAATGTGCTCTTTGACAACTACAGCTATTTCGTGAGTTTTCTTTTCTTTTTCCTGTCAGCTTTCGTGAGCTGATCTGTTCATTGGTGGGTGTGAGAGAATAATATAATTTTGTATGTCCGCCAAATGACTATTTGGGTGTGTATGTCTCTCTGTTTCTGTGTGTGTGTGTGTGTTGTGTATGTCTCTCTGTTTCTGTGTGTGTGTGTGTTGTGTGTGTGTGTGTTTGTGTGTGTGTGTGTATGTTTGAGTATATGTGTGTGTGTGTGTGTGTGTGTGTGTGTGTGTGTGTGTGTGTGTGTGTGTGTGTGTGTGTGTGTGTGTGTGTGTGTGTGTGTGTGATGGTATGTATGTTTACCATGCCAGAGCAAATTTCTCTTTGTGGAAATCAAAAAATGTTACCTCATCTTGTATCCTGATGATAGACAAATAATTTGTTTTTACATTTAAGAATGACCAAATGTTGCCACTTGGGGTATGAGAATTTATTGCCACCAGCAGTTATTGTTTAACAGTTTTGAGTTTTGTCTTAAACACAATTCGTAAAACACACCTGAACTCAATATTTTTCAGTAAAATCCTCACAGAAGTGTGTTTTTAAATGGACTTCACAGAAGTGTGTTTTTAAATGGACCTTAAAAGGTGTTCAGTCAAAAAACGAAAATTTGATAAAAGTGGCCTAACGGACAGAAGAATGTTAGTTTCTTTGATTTCGTTATTGTGACCAGCGCCTGATTTCACCACGATGCCTCTCATAATACTTAACATTATTTTTGTTTTTATTACTTTTCATTTATATTAGGCGTGTGACTGTAAGCCTGCATGTGTGTGTGTATGTGTGTACAGGGTGAAACACCAAACCAAAGTGCCAGGATCTGGACAATAAAGACGTATCTTATCTTTTCTTATCTTATCTTATTTAATCTTATCTTATCTTATATAACATACTAACAAAATGAGTTGCTTCTCAGATTCGAGCCCTTTGGAAATAGATACATCAAGCTTATAGGTGAAGTTTTTACAATTTATAAGTATGTAATAAAGAAAGACATGTTATACTTAAAGAATATGGCGTCAATAGAAAATCTACAAATTTGACCCTAGTGTCGATTTTTGGCCAATATCTCCTCTTGCGCATTGCGAGAAGTAACTCATTTTGTCAGCTCGCCTCACATTATTGTATTTCCCCTCTCCTCAGGGCTCCCATCTTATCTTGAGTGGACTGGCGTGGCACGGTTTCCTCTTCGCACTGCTGTACCGACCCCTCAGCCTGCACCAGAAGTACTTCGGACTTCTACAGTAAGACGTTTCTTGATTTTTTTTGTTTTTTTGACTCTGTATTGGCTGAAACGAAATCAAGTTTTCGAAAACAAAATACAGAATTCAGAAATTTGATCTTGTTTTTGTACTCTGTATTTGCTGAATGTTAATAAATTATGTTCAATTGAATGTCGGTCACTACATGTAGTCTTGTAAACAAGACACCATGGGTAGTTGGTGGGTGGTCTGGTGTGTTTGCTTCTTCTTTCCTATCAAACATCTATTGCTCTTATCCCTCCTCGTTTTTGTTTTTTTTGGGTTTTTTTGTGTGTTTATTACTCTCTTGTAATAATTCTAATTTTAAGCACTTGTATGACCATAGTATATTGCTGCAAGTGCCATAAATCTCTAACTAAACGAACAAACCTATGTGGGCGGTTGGAGGGTGCTCTGGTGTGGTTTGCTCCTTCTTTCCTATCAAACATCTATCGTCCTTATCTCTCCTTCTTTTTTTGTTTTTGTTACTCCCATGTAACAAACTGAATCTTTGGCACTTATATAACCGTATTGTGTTACAAGTGCCGTAAAACTCTTACGAAATACCAAAAAAAGCCCCACCTATCATTGTCCATACACTCTCTGTTGTTTATGTGTCATTTTTATTTTTATTTACTGTTGGAAAAAAAAAAGGAAAGAATTTGAGACTATACTACTGTAATTTAAATGCAGTGAGGCCACAGAAACCCAAACCTGTAGTGAAACTGCTCGAGATGTTCTTTGGTTTTCAATTCAGAGAGATTGCTCAAATGGCGAAGAAAAAAATGTGTGTGTGTGTGTGTGTGTGAGGGGGTGGGGGGGGGGAATTCTATATTCTTTCAGTTCATGGTGTTTTTTGATTAACTGTTTTCAGTTTACATATGATCTAGACTCCGCTGTATCATAATGAATGAGTCAAATATTCAAGAGGTTAACGAAATATTTCCTCTTGTCCCTCACTGTTTCAGGGAGGAGATCGAGTTTAGTACAGACGAAAGCAAGGATTCCGCCCCTTTGAGAAATGGAGATTCCAACATGGAAAGTGATGAAACTTCCAGCCAGCGCAACAATATCAACAGTTCTGATGCCGTGGACGCGACGCCTCTCGCAAACAACAGTTCAACCTCTCCATCTCCCGGCAAAGTGCGGCAACGAAAACAGGACGGCTGCGTCAAGTCATCGCTGAAAATCTTGCTCCCTGTTGAGAAGTCCGACGAGGCGGAGAAGGGCAAAGGTCAGAGAAAGTTCTTCCACTGCCGGCTGCTTACCGACATTCCCTTCCTCCTCTACTGCCTCAGTATGGTGCTCTTCAACATCGCCTTCAAAGGGGCCTTCACCTTCCTACCATCTCTCGCAATCGCCAAAGGTTTGAGCAAATCGGATGCCGCTCTGGTCTTGATGATCGCCGGCGGCTTCGACACCCTGGGGCGGGTGGCGATTGGATTTTTACTTGACTTCCGCTTGCTGCGTCCCTTTCGACCGGTGATTTACAATGGCGTGATCTTCGTCATAGCGCTCAGCTCCTTTCTGATACCGCAAGTCGGAGGAAGCATTATTCTGCTTTCCATCGTTGCGGGGATCTACGGGACCTTGACCGGTGGCTACGTCTCTCAAAAGTCTGTCGTGTTGGTGGACATCCTCGGGAAGGGAAACATGGCCTCTGCTTTTGGTCTCCTCATCGCTTTCCAGGGCGTCGGCACAGCGCTTGGCCCTCCTCTTTCAGGTGAGGTTTTATACGAAATAATGATAATAATAATAATGATAATAAGAATAACAATGATAATAATGAATGGTAATAATAATGATAGTAATAATAATGATAATAATAATATAATAATAATGATAATGATAATTATAATAATAATAATAACAATATGTAACATTTATAAAGCTCACATTCCCTCTCAACGGCAAGCTCTATGCACTTTACAATCTATACTATTTCCCCAGCAGACCTGAAAGCACTCTGAAACAATCTTAACTTCTTGGGAAGCATACAGTATAAGCTGCCTTTTTATAGGCGCTAAAACACTGAACAGGCGGACAAGATTTTTCGCTGTCTGATAGACAGAAAAATAAATGAAAACTCCTCTCTATAAAGCTTTTTTCTCATAGAAATTTTTACACAAAAACAAAGATATAATTACGTACATGCGTGTCTGTTAATTTTTAAGATGTGATGTCTTTTTTTTCGATGTAATGGGCATTGAGCTTTTTTTTAGAAAAAATGAAAATGCGCAGTATAAATGCTATTTATTATTATTATTATTATCATTATTACTTTCGGAATTTCATACCCTACCTGGATTCAGATCTTACCTTATTCAATGTTGCAGGTCATGTCTTACATTTTTCTCAGTTTGTAATGTAAGGACAATCCGGTGAGTTGGAAGGGAGGGGGGGGGGGGTTCTGTATTTCTCTAGGCGCACTATGGGTTTAGTTGGTATCATGCTGGTCTATGGAAGGGGATGGCCCTTGTTCGAATCCTCGAGGTGATGTTTTGAACTTGAGATGTGTTGGGAAGTTTTTTAAGGTTGTCCTCCCATTTGGCATGGTCCTATTGGAGTTGGACATTAGAATTGGAGGTCCCGCCTCTTGAATACTCTCTAATCTTTAAGATAATAAGATAAGTTACATCTTTATTGTCCAGATCTTGGCACATTGGTTTGGTGTTTCACCACATGTACTCACACACACTCACAAACACACACACACACACACATACACACACACACGCACAAGCTCTCACACACACACAAACAAACATGCTCACACACGCAGGCTTACAATCACATGCATAATATAAATGAGCAGCAGTATAAACAATAATAATGTTAAGCTAGATACCAACTCAGTGATATTCTGATGTATGCTCCAAGGTCATATGAATACTTATACAAGATGGTTAAGATGGAAGCACTTATATTACCTATTTGTATTGTAAGTGCTGTAAAACTCTTCCAAAAACAAAACGAAGTAAAAAAAACTGCAATGACGAGTCACATTTTTCTTCTTTCAGGTGCACTGAAGGATGCCATGGGAGATTTCGATCAGATCTTCTACTTGGGAGGTGCCTCGATGATCGGTGCTGGACTGCTCATGGTGATAAGCAATGTGACCCGTTATTTCAGGGACAAACGAGAGAGACGTCGCAAAGCGGAGGCAGAAGGTAGCATCGCTCTTTAACGGGACCTGAAGTGTCAGAAAGCCACCAGTGTGCCTATAGGAAGGATTGTCATGACAGCACGTTTTCTCTTAGATTTTTGGGGGTTTTTTTCCAGCCTGCTACTTTGTGTATCTGTGTTTTCCAGGAAACCTTCTTCAGTTGAGCAAGGCAGTTGAAAAGAACCTTCTGAGAGCTGGTTTTCAAAATGTGTGGAAAAGAACTATCTGAGAGCTGGTTTTCGAATTGTATTGAAAAAAACTTTCTGAGAACTGGTTTTCGAAATGTGTTGAAAAGAATTTTTCAGGAGCTGGCTTTTGAAAGTTTCCAACAGACCTAGTGTTCATCCATTTTTTGTCAAGTTTTATTAATTGTTACTTTTATGTGATCAAATCTGTGAGACAGATTTTATTCCTGCTTTGCTATAAAGGGATGGCATTATGTAGGGTGGGCTTGTCAAGTGCTTCCAAGTGGCTTGCAAGATTAAACGATTTCAAATAGTATTTGATACTGTCGACTCTGCTTGTGCTGAACTCGCTTGGTTGATCTTCGGTTAAGTTGATCTTCTTTTCGAGTCCCAGCGTCTCATCTTCTTTACAGATCCCAATTGTTAAGTTTAACTTCGGATGAGTTGATCTTTTTTTTCACTCCCACGACGATATCAACTCATACGTAGTCGACTATACCTCGTTGGCCAAGGAAGAAAAAAATTGGGTGAGATCGGTTGGAACCTCCAAGCTCTTAAAAGTGGGGCTGAAACTTATACTATAACATTTATCACTCTAGGGCATTTCATGAGATAGAATATTAGATCTATTGCTTCCAGCTGGGTTGGAAACTGTTGATTTTAATTTTCAAGAATAACAGTTTTGTTTTTATTTATCGTCAACTCTCCGTTTGCCACATTTATGATAATTAATAACTTGGTCAACTCGTGAGCTAGACTGAAACTGTGGGGGGTTCTGACTGCAAGCTGCGGAGAGCCTTGATCCCTTGAACCTACAGGACTTGTGCACCCGAGTTCTTTTGGATCTACCATCAGGTTTGTAGCGTTACTTCTAGTAATTCACCGGCACGTGATGCTTGCTCACGCTTCGTTGAGTTCATATTTAACCGTGTAGGCTATATAAATGTTCGTTTTAAAAAAATGTTATTCATTTGCTGGTATAGTGCGCTTCAGGCTAGGCCTACACCATGTGCGACGATACATCTGTGTGATGAGTGTAGGTATGACTTCAACCTGTATCACAGCCTTTCTGGAGGTCTTACAACTTTACAGGTTTATTCCACAGTATGCTGAGGTTGGTGCGTGTAAAGGTGTAACGGCGCTTATATGACCTTATTGTGTTGCAAGTGCCGTAAAACTCTTACTAAAACAAAGGTGTAATTTTGTGGTCATTACTCCAGCATGGGGCGAGAAAGGCTGATATGGTGATGGTGATGGTCTCTGCTTTGATGTATTTTTGAAAGTTGTAGACTACTGGCAGATACATTTTCAATGTATGCGCTATAACATAAGATGTCTAGATGTGTAGATTGTGAAGTGCATAGAGCTTGCTGTTGAACAGGGATTTGCGCTATACAAATGCTATTTATTTTTATCATTGTTATCACTTTTATTTCTCTTTGCTTCTATTGTGCCACTTCTAAAAGTAATGTGCTCAGATCTAAGAATTGAGAATCCTGAGTGAGAAAGTAACAGAAATGGTGGCTGAGAAATCTTGTGCAATTTATGGCAAAGTTGCTATGTTTCTAAATTTAATGACTTGTGCGTAGAACGATGTATTTTCCACACAAAAAATATTTCACGTATAGATGTGGTGTTTTGTCAGAGTGAAGGCCGCTTTGGTGGCCTTCTGGTAACAATCAAACGAAGATATGGGGTTGGGCTTTTTTTTTGGTCAGAATTAGTTGAATTTTTTTTCCTGATATATTTTTGGTATGATTTAAATAATAATAAGAGCATTTGTATCCCGCATTTCCCCACAGCATGGGCCCAAGGCGTGCATAGGAGATTAAAAACGCATTCATACTGACACCATACAAATTCATCATGTGCGCCCTTTTTGACAGCAACATTATTTCAGACAATAAAAAATGCTCATACAAAAAGGCAAATAATTAAACTATTTCTTCAATAGATGTGTTTTGAGTCCCCTTTTGAAGGTATCAAGTTTTATTGCGCTCATCAAATCATGAGGAAGAGTGTTTAAAAAAAAGTAGTTGGCCCAGAAAAAGAAAAAGCTCTCTCACCATATTTCTTCAGTGACACACGAGGTTTTGAAATTAGTCTAGAGCCACTGGATCTTAGTTCACGTGATGGTGTGTATGGTACAATGAGTTCTTGAATGTATGTGGGAGACTGGTTAGTTTGACCTTTAAAGCTTAGTAATTTATATGTGTCTGTACATGCCATTTCAGGATATATTTTTTATAAGCATTACTTGAACTATTAGTGAACTACAAATTTTATTGACAGCGTTCCTTTTTCATTTGATGGTTTGATGGTGCTGTCATGATGCGGATTGACCTTCCTAGACATGTTAGAGATAGTTCCCTAGCAATGTTTAAAGCTCATCTTTTTGCTGAGGCATCTGTAGAAATAGATTGGGAGGGGGAGAAATAAACAATGGGAGAGAGAGAGAGTGAGAGAGAGAGAGAGAGAGAGAGAGAGAGAGAGAGAGAGAGAGGGAGAGAAGGAGAGAGGGAGGGAGGGAAGGAGGGAGGGAGACTTGTGGTGAAATAAGGTGCTCATCAATGTTGAAGGCAAGAAAAATGAACATGCTTTATGATGAAACCAATGATTCCACATGCCCAAAAACTGATGGGCGTCTGATTCCACCGCCTTGTGAAACATTTATTGTTCTTTTCATTATTGTAAAGCAATTTGAGCACTTGCAAAGAGAAAATGTTTAATATAAATGCAATGCCTTATTAGTAAAGGAATATTTTCTTCCTTTTTATTGGAGTCACCAGATTTAGATGGCAGAAAATAGGTATTTTTGTGCAGCATTTCTTTGGATCTTCTTTTGTTCTCACATTTTTTACTGTTTACTGGCAATTCGGTTTCTACTTGAGTACATAGAAATTTTTTTTTTTTTTTTTCAATCTGTGATTTTTTTGTTTATTGTAAAGACGAAATAGGTTTCTTTTAATGATTATCTTCATATCATTTTTGTTGTGATCTTCATATCATTTTTGTTGAGACATCTCTACTGGGATACCTCAAGAGCACACATACCTCAACACATACCTCAAACCAAGTACTCAGTCTAATAAAGGGCAAGCAAAGCCTTGGATGTAAAATCATTGAAAAGAAGGAATCCATGTTATTTGCAATGCATATTGTCGGTGTCTGACTCATTGATTGCGCCAAATTCCGTCAAACAATTTTTTTTTTGGAGATGGTGTGACCAGCTTTCGCAAGTTGGGTTGTTTTTGGGGTTTTTTTTAAAGTTTTTTTTTTTTTGGGGGGGGGGGGGGATGTATGTTTTTTCCACTGTATCTTCCAAAATCGCTCCACATTTGGTGAAGACAGTATTTTTACTTATTATAGTATTACCAATCATGACTGTGGTTATAAATAACATAATTTGAAATAAAAAGATTGTTTGACCTAATTTGCCGAATATTCAGTTAGAGTTGAACACCAAAGATGTAATAATATTTATTTCTTCATTGAATTTTGTGGTCCCAAATACTAGAGCATTACTAGAATTACATTTATGGTGTATTTGAAGTAAATAATGCTTTCCTGACATGTTTGTATTTTTTTGTATAGACTCATCTGTGTCTCTACCTACTCTTGCCATGTTTCACTTTCGGGAATCTTGCTTAAAATTTTTTTTTTAGAAATTGCAATCTTTCCTGAGGACTCTTATAAGTTTTCATTTTCAAATGTCGTTCACGATTTCAAGTGCTTTGAATTAAACATTTAAAAAAAAAATCCTCATATGATTTTAACATCTTGTCAAACAAAAATAAAGATATTTTGGCAGAAGAATTAGTCGCCGGAATTAAGATATTTAATAAACGTGTCTTGTATGCTGCTAAAACACACCATATTATTCTCTCCCCCCCCACCCCAATCCCTTGTCTCCCCCTGTCAAAAGCAAATTTTGAAAATTATTATAATTCAGGGCTGTTACAGGGTTATGCTTACATGTATGTGTTTAATGTTTATTTCTTGAGCATTATGATCAAGATTCAATTATCATTATGCAGAGTGTTGAAACTTTTGTGATGTATGTCTTTTGATAAATACTATTCTTTTGTTGAAAAGAATTTTTACATTTCTTTAAAAATGAGACTGAAAGTAAGCACAAAAGAGAAGGAATGAGTGATTGAGAAAGAAAGAGATAGAGAGATTCCGCGTTATTTTATAACTTAACGCAAGGAGAGAGAGAGAGAGAGAGATAGTTTTTCTTGTTATTGTTATTTAATAAAACGGAAATCTGTTGTATAAAACTCGGTTTTCGTCACGAAAGATCTATCCTATTGATATTGTTTTTTAAAATGCACAATGTTCTCTCTGTTATACTCTATCCAAATGTTTTCCAACGGTACACATATCTTTTTTCTTTCAATTTGCACTCCTTGATTTAAGTGTGAGGTGTTTTGAAGACATTGTTTGAATGTGCCATACTCAAAGAAGGCTGTGGGTTTTCTTTTGCCTTTTTATTCTGTTATTTTTCACTTTGTGTATCATATTTTATTGCGACCTCAGTGCTTTCTTGTCGCATCTCCATTTTTAATGACAATGAAAACAGTTCATAACAAAGAGTGAGCTAAGAAGAAGTCACATTTTCACTGTTTAAAAAAATGGACATACGACAAGAAAGCACCGAGGGCGAATTATGTTTTTCAAGTATTTCCTTTTGTCTGATTTGTTATCTGATTTTTCTTCTATGCTCAGCGAGTTGTTATCTGATTTTTCTTCTATGCTCAATATTTATGTCCAGGGTACACGAAGCCAAATGGAAATCGTCTTGGTTTGGGATTGGCATTAATTGTGGTGCAGCAGGTAGGCACTTTGCCCTCTCTTGCAGAATATGTGAGTTCAATTCCAGTTCGAGAAGGGTTTCTTTATTTGTTGTTGTTGTTGAGTATCTTAATCTGTTTGATGGGTTGTTGTATCTCTGTCTGCCTGCCCGGGTTAGCCCTGACTGTAACAACAGTGACAGCCAAGCTGCAGCCTGCCTCTGTATGATCTAATTTGAGTTGGTGAGGGCCTAAAATAAAGCATCTACAATTTCAATCACACTACGTTTTGTCAAATCTCAAGTTCAAATGAAATTTCTGGAAATCTTACAAAGGCCTCTTTTCTGTAGAATTTGGGGGGGGGGGGGTTCTTGTCAAATCATGTATGTGGTCATGCCTACAGCTATAAATGGTAATTTAATTTCTTTCTTGACGTCACCTAGTTTAATTTTATCCTTCTTAGTGAAAATTTTCTTACTGAGATTTATTGAAAATTTAAACTTTGCATCTTTCAATGTATGCAGACACACTAAAGTTGGTATTCGATTTTGAGACCGTAATGTCCTTGGCTATAGCTACAGACCTAAATTGTATCAAAAAAGTATATAACACATAATTAGCTGAGGTAAAGTGTTTCAGAAGGTGTATTAATTTGTTTCATAGATTTCTGGCTCACAACAATAGTTATGTTATTGTTTTTCAGGAAAGGTCTGTTTTTCAATTTAAAAAAAAAAAAAAAAAATTGACAAGAAAGTTTTAATTCAAGTAGATAGGTGGCTGTGTCCCAAATCAATGTGGTTCTGTGGAGGTGCTGTCTGCCTTATTCATGTCTCTACAGGAGTTAGCCCCTTTTTACTAAGTTATAAGGAGTTTGCCCCCTTGTGCTAAGTTATAAGGAGTTAGCCCCCTTTTACTAAGTTATAATGTGTTAGCCCCCTTTTTACGAAGTTTTAAGGAGTTAGTCCCCTTTACTAATTTTTAAGAAGTTAGCCCCCTTGTATTAAGTTGGAGTTAGTCTCCATTTACTACGTTTTAAGGAGTTGGGCCCCTTTTCTAAGAATAAGTTTTACTGTTGTGTGGGTAGAAATAAGACATTCCTTTTCACTTCTGTTGACAGTGGTGGTGGTGCTTGGTACTGCGCAACAAATGAATCCATTTGTAATGAACTCGGCTGCAATAAAGAATGATGTTACTCTTTCAGATGCTCTTGTTCGTGTTAAGATTAATTCATGAATTCCTTTTTTTGTTTTTGTTTGATACTTTTCCTAGACATGTAGTACAATATCTAAGACTGTGTACTCTGACGTGTGGGTGGTTGGAGGGCGCCACTGGTAGCTCCTACTTCTTTACTTTCCCTTCTGTTGTTTCTGTCTTTTTGTCTTGCCTTTTTCCCAGCACTAAATGACCATCGTTGTGTCGATGTGCTTCTCTGTACTCAAACATGTACTCTGATGTACGTAATTTTGATTTTACCCGTAGAGCGTATCATTAATTTACTCTATTGAGAATCAGATATAGAGCAAAGAAGATACAGAGGTGGGTGCTCTCGTGTGGTTTGCTCCTTCTTTCCTATCAAACATATGTCGACCTTATCTGTCCTCCTTCTTTTTGTGTTTGTTACTCTCTTGTAACACATCTATTCTTCGGCACTTACATGATCGTATTGTGTTGCAAGTGCCGAAAAACTCTTACTAAAACTATTGATACAGAGCAGAATATTAAGAGCTGTTGAGATGAGGTGCTTCCGTAAACTGCCTGGCATCATCTCATGCAAAGATCATGTCACCAATGAAGAAGTGAAAATAATAGTGTATTATAATATTAGAAATGTGATCGTGCCTTACACCGACCTTCTATCATCGCTAAAGCAACGCAAGTTGAAATGGTATGGCCATGTCACCGGTTCGTCAGGCCTTGCATGTTCTTATGCACTGTAGAATTTTAAATGGGCTGGTTTATCAATGTCGTGC